TTTCTTTCTTTCTTTCTTTCTCTTCTTCTTTCATTTTTTGTCCGTTTCTTCGGCTTCGGCTCGCGATCGGAGCACAGGTCGCGTAGGTGAGCGTGATCTCCGACGTCGATACCGATCGATAGCGCGCGCGCGCGTTACCGCCAATTTAGACACGCACCGTCAATTGAGCGTCGAGTTGACCCTCGTTAGCCTCTGGCTACGTCTCGCTAACCGTACGAAAATGCACGGCCGATGAAAAATCGGAGAGCAGCCCCCAAAGTAGACCTCGGCCGATTCGACGACCGGTCGATCGCCTTTGGACGCCACGCAGAGACCTCGTCCTGCTTCTTCATCTTTTTTCCTCTTTGATCTCGTACCGTGAGTATCTCTCTCTCTCTGTTTCTCTCTCTCTGTTTCTTTGATCTTTCGCGCGTTTCTACGTAATTTCGTACCGATGAATCGAGAGGGGAACTCGAAATTCATCTCTTTGAAATTCGTCGAATGCCCCCTCCCCCTCCCCCTCTCCACTTTTCGATTCGAATCGCGCCCCGCGATCGCCTCCGCGTCAGATCCGCAGATCGCGACGTTGCATAACTTGTTCGTGCAACAACCTTGCAACTAGACCGAATCGATCTTTCTTTCAAATATCGCGACGAATCGTGACGTAACGTGCCAGTCTGCGAACGATGACGCGCGACGCGAATCAGAACGAACGCGCCACGTATACGCGCTGACCTCGGGGCCGCTTCGTCTTCGACCGCGCTTATCGCTCAGTCCCGCTTCATTTCCCGGTAATCGAGCGCGAAACGCGCTTCTCCTCCTTCTCCTCCTCCTCCTTCTCCTTCTTTGTCTGTGCGCGTTCGTTTCCAACGAACCGAAATCGGCTCGAGCTTCTTCTCTCTGACTGACCGAGTCTCTCCTCGTCTCTCTGTTCCAGCGAACAACGTTCCCGGTTTTTTAGGGCTGATCGCCGCGCATCGACATGATAGAGAACGCACCACCACCACCACCATCACCACCGATCAGCACCGATGCTACGTTTCCACCTGGGGAGCACCACCATCATCACCACGTTTGCCACGCCGTTGCCTCCCTTTGTCAGCGAC